TGTGGATATCACTAGTAATAACCCATGTAGTAAGCCTCGCTGAAACCGAGACCCAGGCCGAAAAGGGGGAAAAGACCCCAGTCAAGACTCAGGGCCTGGACGAGGCACAGTTGACAAAGTCAACTGTCGGAAATTCCAACAGTCAAAGTCCAAAGGTACCTAGCCCAGGCCGCAGGTCAAGCACACACACTTGTTTGTATGCAGGTACCCAGACAGCATCAGGTCCAAGGGAGAAGTCTGCAACTGTACAATCCTGGCCCTCAGCTGTGATTCAATCTGGACGACTGGGGGAAAATTACCCGAGGCCAGACAGCCTCGACATCTGTTACTTAAGGCTGACCTCGAGTAAGTCAAGCATTCAGTCTTGCTATGCTGCTTTGACACTGGCTCGACTTTGACACGACGCTGGCTTCATGCTGGCTGTGCACAAGCGTTGCGGACGACAGCACGAGGTGGAGGCAGCATGCTGGCGGTTCTTCCGTGCGCCATGCCATGCTGATGTGGTGCTGCCTCTAATATACGTGGCGCTGCCTCTAATATACGTGGCGCTGCCTCCAATATACGTGGCGCTGCCTATGGTCTATATGGCATGTTGATGTGGCGCTGCCTCTAATATACGTGGCGTTGCCTATGGTCTATGTGGCATGCTGTCGTGGCGCTGCCTCTGGTATACGTGGTGCTGCCTATGGTCTACGTGGCATGTTGATGTGGCGCTGCCTATGGTCTATGTGACATGCTGACATGCTACTGGTATACATTGGTGATGTGGCGATTGCCACCTGTTTCGATAGTTGACGTGGCATTGTCCACACTGTCTACATGAGGTGACTGGTTGCGAGGAGGAGGAAGATCGGGATCTGTGGTTGAAGGAGAACGGGTACTCACCTGGGGTTGAAGTTGATACCGAAATCTGCATTGTCTTCATGATCTTCATGAGATTGAGTGCCATGTGGCACTTCCGTGTGTGATCAGGAATATACTTATTATCATTGCTAATGTGGAGAGGGAAGAAGCCCGGAAAAAGGAGAGGGTTCAGAAGGGATTACTGTGTGAATCTTCATCTTCCCCTTTGTCTGTTCCCCCTCCACTCTCTTCTATTGATGATAATGAGATACTGTTTGAGACATTTCTTCACGAGTTGGAGACTTGCTGCAGATACTGACTCTACAGGTATTTGACGACTTCTGAGTATCTGCCAGACCAGGTTCATTACAATTTGGTATCGGAGCAAACTTCTTCATCGCGATCTGTTGTCTGCTGTCAGGTGCTGACGTGGCACCCAGGTAAGTGGGAGGTGCTGCATGTGCAAAACGAAACGCGTTTACTAATGCGCGCGGTCATACCGCAAGTCTTGACATTGTAGTAATGCACTTGTGAACAGCCGTCCCTTGAAGATGATGACGTAGCTGCGTTGAAGACACCAGCGAGAGCTTCGTTGGCAACAGGCTTACGTGGCGCCGATCCAGATAGATAAAGTGTGTGAATTGGACCGCTAATGTGGCATAATGTCTACATGGCATAATATGGAATGTTGATGTGGTATTTTGGTAGGGCATAGTCCGACGTGGCACGTACCTGCATCATGAGTACCTGTTGACATGGCATCCCAGTACAGACACACATTGCTGACGTGGCATCCCCCTTGTACACCCTCCGGGTTCCTGATGTGCTGACGTGGCAGACTCCATTGAGCTGCTGTGTTGGCATTCCAGGGGTGACACGTGGCCTGCATGGCTAAGTGAGGTGTTAAGTGTGTAATGTGTTTGGTTGCTGCAGATAGTACAACCATAATAGAGGAAGCTAACAATTGATTGTGTTGGAGTGTTGGTTTTACTCACCTGTTGGTTCTTTCTTAGGACTTGCTAGCTACTATAGGAAGTTCGTTAGAAACTTTTCCTTGATAGTTGCTCCTATGAGAAGATTATTGAAAAAGGAAAAACCTTGGTTGTGGGACAAAGATTGTGAGTCGTTATTCAGAAAGTTAAAACATACTCTGACTCGCTACCCTGTCCTAAGGATTGTTGACCCTTTACTTCCTTTCATAGTCACAACTGACGTAAGTCAGTATGGGATTGGGGCTGTGTTACAGCAAGATGACGGTCAAGGCTATATACCTATTGAGTTTATGTCCAGAAGACTTCCGTCAGAAAAAGTAGCCAATTCCACATATGAAAGGGAATTGTATGCCTTAGTAGTTGCACTAGATACCAGGAAGCACAACCTGCTGGGGAGGCATTTCATTGTCTGTTCTGACCACTCTATGTGGAAGTGGATCAAGACTCAGTCTAAGCTCTCCGACAAGTTGGTAAGGTGGTCCGCATTCCTTGATACCTTTGACTTAGAGGTGAAAACCATCAAAGGTAAGTCTAACGTGGTTGCTAATGCTTTGTCCAGGCGTGCAGATTTCTTTGGAACTAATATCTCCTATCTCGATATCGGAAATTAACTGAAAGAACAGATCCGCCAGGGTTATGGGAACGATCCTATTTGGAATCCTATCATTGAGAGTCTACGAAAGAACCCAGAGTTATTTCCGGAATATCGAATGATTGATGACCTACTCTTCTTGCTGGATAAAACCGAGGAACAATTGTGTGTTCCTCACTTGGAATCAATTAAGATTTTAATCATCGGGGAATGACATGATGCAGAAGGTCACTTTGGTTTTAAGAAGACGTATGCCGATGTACGTGAACAATTTGAACGGAAAGGAATGAAGAAGACGTACTAACGTATGTGCGGACTTGTCTTGTCTGTCAGAGGAGCAAACCCTCACATGAGAATCCGACGGGACTATTGAGACCACTGCCAATTCCAAGTGAGTCAGGTGAGTCCATTTCCATGGACTTTATGAGTCTCACTAAAAGTCGAAATGGCAGCAGTCAAGTAATGATCATTGTCGATAGATTCTCTAAGTATGTTATGTTCATTCCTTTGCCTGCTGAAGCTAGAACCGAACTCGTCATTTAAAAGTTTCAAATGTGATGGGTCTCTGAGTATGGATTTCCCAAAACCATAGTATTGTAATGACCCGCCAAAAACACAGACTGAGAACACTTCTGATTTCTGGGATTTGCTGTTGGAATGAATGCCTTGTTGAAATTCCCGCATTCTGCTGTGATTTCCATGTCTGTGTGTGTGTGCGTGCCTGCTGGTTTGCATGTCTGTCTGAGTGCTTGTCAGTTGAGTGTGTGTGTGACCCGCAAGGGTACTTGTTGGTTGCAAGGCCCCGTAGGGCCGGTACTTACGTGTGGCCGTGACTGTGAAGGGTTGCAGGGGGAAAACACTCGAGTAGTGGGGGTAGGCCCGCGACACTTAGAGCAGAGGGGAAAAACACTCAAGTAGCAGGTAGGCCGGTACCACTGAAGTAGTGGTAGAAGTGTCGGGTACAGGAGGCCGAGCAGAAGAAGACAAAAAATTGGCATTTTTAAAGGCCCAGTAGCGGTAGGATAGCGGTAGGCCGCCCAGGTCTAGGGCCTATGCGAAGGATAGCAGAGCCTGCAATGATGTTTCCCTCCGAAAGGGAGGAGGTACCGGTTGCTGGGAGGCCACTCAGCCTAGGAAGTCACCGCCCAGGAGGCCGGTAGGCCGCTATATCTCCAGGAAGAGCAAGGAGCTCTTCCTCATTTGCGGTGTGCAAGGATTGGCGACATGCTGCTGGAGCGCAGTGCTGGTCTGGTACAGCGCTGCTTGGAGGTGAAGGGCCGCTCGAACTCAGCCTGGCTATGGCGAGCAGTCCAGCTTGAGGAGGAGGAAGAAGGGGGCATGGTAGGAGAGTGGCGAGGCACTTACCTGGCTATGGTAGACACCATCTTCATCACCTTGCTGGGCGCTGCATCTGGAAGGCCCCAGTTGGGGTAGTGCGGCACCAAGGAAGCTCGAGGCAGAGTCAGGCATGGTGGACCAGTCAGCAGCGGCATAGCTGCTTTGTGTGTCCTTTGGACATCAGCGCAGCACCATAGCTGCTTTGGGTTGTCCTTTGGACGTCAGGGCAAGGCCCTCATTAGTCCGCCATAGCCTATGCATGAGAGAGGAGGCTGAAGGAGGGAAGCCATAGCTATGGTGGACTGGTTGTTGTTGTTGTTGTTGTTGTTGTTGTTGTTGTTGAGTTGAGTCAGTAGTAAGAGGGAACTTCGGACATTGATTCTGGTTCATCCATTCATTGGTTTGAGAGAAGAATAAGATTGGTGAAGAGGAGGAGGAGGAAGGTGGTTTCTTCTTCTTCTTCTTCTTCTTCTTCTTTACCTCTCCTCTAGTCTCTATCTCTTTGCAAGTGCTTTCCCGGGTACTCAAGGATCGCCACACCTATGACGAGATTACAATCGCCAAAGGTGCCATTCGTATTCGATGATGACGCCCGCTGGTCATTCCAAGCACTCAAGACGGCCATGCTCACGACACCTGTCCTTAGCATCTATGACCCCACCCTGCCAACGAGAGTGACAACTGACGCTTCCGGCTATGGCATTGTGGCAGTCTTGGAACAACACGACGACGACGACTAGCACCCCGTGGAGTATTTCAGCCACAAAGTGCCTCCCATCAATTCACTTGATGATGCAAGGAAGGAGTTGCTCGCACTCGTGATAGCTCTCAAGCGATGGCCACACCTCCTCCTTGGGCGTCGTAGGTTCACATGGGTCACGGACAACAACCCGTTGACCTACTACAAGACGCAGGATACGGTGAGCAGCACGATCGGACGATGGATGTACTTCATCGACCAATTTGACTTTATACCGAAACATCTCGCCGGCCTCTCCAATCGCGCAGCAAATGCACTCTCGCGAAGACCCAATCTTTGCGCTATGACACATCATGCCTTCGTGTTCGACGAGGAACTCCAACGACATTTCATCAGGGGCTATGAGTCCGATCCAGGATTTTCGCCACGTTGTATGGGCAGCTATCTTCGGATCACCCGCCGGCCAACCACTATCGCATCGTCGACGGGTACTTGCTCCTCCACTCGCGAGGCAAGGACTTATTGTGTGTCCCACGAGACCGTCGTCTTCGGACTCACCTTCTCGGCGAGTACCACGACTCGCGACTCGCCGGCCATTTCGGAGTAAATCGCACTATTGCACGACTTCGACAACGATTCCGATGGCCCGACCTCATTACCGATGTCACTCGGTACTGCGACTCTTGCGAAGTTTGTCAACGAAGCAAGCCCCGCAACCGCAATCCCTACGGCGAGTTGCGCCCGATGCCTATTCCACGGGAACCCGACCTCTCCATTGCTATGGACGTCACCGGTCCGTTTCCCTGCGACCACCTCGGGCACGACGGCATCCTCACGGTCGTTGACCGATTGAGTAAATACGCGCGATTTCTCCCTTGCAAGTACTACGCCACGGCTCCCGAACTTGCGCACCTCTTGCACACCGGCTGGATTTGCAGCCGCGGCATTCCGGAAGACATCGTCAGCGACCGCGACACTCGTTTCATGTCGGCATTCTGGACTTCTCTCATGCAGGAATCCGACACCAAGATGAAACCAAGTTCGGCTCGACATCCACAAACGGACGGGCAAACGGAGCGGGCACATCAAACCGCTCAAATGATGCTTCGTAGGCTCATCCGTCCGGATAAGAAGGATTGGGTTGACCGCCTCCCCGACATTGAGTTCGCCTACAACACCTCGTTGCATCCGGCAATCGGCGTGACTCCATTTGAGTTGCACCACGGTGACCGGAAAGGTCGTATCTTCGTCGATCTTCTCCTTACACGAACAGTCGACATAGATGTCGCTTGCTCTCCCGCTTCCGTCCGGAAGTACAGGGAATTGCTGGCTCACGCCCGCACGAACATGCAAAAGGCCCAAGTCCGCATGCAGCAGCAAGCCAACAGGCGTCGCGTGCCATGTCCCATCCGCGTCAGTGATCTGGTTTGGGTCTCCGCGGAAGAGTTTGTACTCGAGCAGGATGTTTCGTGCAAACTACTCCCCAAGTGGTTTCGACCATGGCCCGTAACATCAGCCGCGGGCGATGAGCCCGATGACCCCTCATTTGTGATCAACATCCCCCCGCATCCGACTGTCCATCCAGTCTTTCACGCCTCAAAGCTGGTGACATATACACCAGCTAAGAGCGACGACTTCCCAGGCCAATGATCACAAGACCCTCCATCTATGGATGGTCATCAGGAAGTTGACCTCGTCATCACGGATCGCAAGTACGGCAGCAAACCTCGACATTACAAAGTTACCTTCAAAGCATGCGATCCCGACGACACTCAATGGATTTCAGGAGCAGATTTGAAAGCATCCGCACCGCTGATCTACGCTCACTACGAGCGAGAAAGGTTAGCTAGGGAAGCTTCACGACCTGCCCCTCCCACGTGGACTTTGGTTCCTCCCTCAGACAGACAACCTCGCCCTCGCAGGTAAGCTCGGTCTTTCAAGGAGGGGGGGGTGTGGCATATTGTGCAGCCACACGGGCCTGTAGGGCCCGACCAGCGTTTCCAGCCTAAAAGCCTGATAACGAGGGCTTACAGGCCCTGTGTCGGTTCAGCCTGACAGCATGAAAATAAGGGCCTACAGGCCCTGTGTCGTTTCAGCCTGACAGCCTGACATCCTGAAAACAAGGGCCTACAAGCCCTGTGTCATGTCAGACTGACAGCCTGAAAACGAGAGCCTATAGGCCCTGGGTCGGTTCAGCCTGACAAGCCTGAAAACAAGGGCCTATAGGCCCTTAGTCTTTAGCCAGAAGCTACCTGGAAACTACCCGGAAGCTTCCTCAGGGGCTAGCACGTTCTAGCATTGGCAAGGGCGGCCTCCCAGAAGCTTCCTCAGGATCTAGCACATTTGGGCATTGGCAAGAGCAGCCTCCTGGACGGGCCATCACTATATAAGACTGGCCCGCCCTACAGGAAGGGGGTAGTTCATAGGGACTGGCCAGGCACTTCGCGTCCAGTTCAGGAGGCAGAAGGCAGGAGTAGTCTTCAGGATTCGGCAGCAACACTTTGGAGGAGCGGTGCAGGAGTAGCTTTAGCGCTAGCAGTAGTCTTCAGCGCTGGGCGCTAGTAGCGGTAGTGGTACGAGTAGAGTAGTTTTGGAGAGAGAGATGGCTGGCGGAGGCCAGAGAGACTTACTTGTGGTGCCATAGCTCCAGCTCCACCTTCGAGGTACCTGCATCAAGGCGCCAACTTCACAGGTTAGTACCGGATTGAGAGAGAGAGAGAGAGAGAGTTCTTCTTCTTCCTCTTCGAAGTCCACCATCTCTTCTTCACCCTCTCGCTACCTGACTTCTCAGTATCTGCGGACTACGAGAGAGAGAGAGAGTTGTGACTTTGGGACTTGACGACATTGGGTCCAGACTCGACATTGGGATTCAGACATTTGATGAGGGATTATTTG